ATAAATAAATAATAAAAAATAGATTAAAATCAATAAGCAGTAAAATAGATTTAAGAGAAATTAAATGAATAATAAAAATAAATAATCCAAATTAGAATAACAAAATATTAATTTGATTTAAAATAAATAATAATCAGAATAAAATCAATAAAATACAAATTAAAATAAATAGATTGCTATAAACAATTTTTAAAAATTTGATTAAAATCAGTAAATAATAAACGGATTTAAAATAAATTAATAAAATAATATAACAATAATAATAAAAATTAAAATAAATATATAATGATTAGATTTTAAATAAATAAATGTTTTACAATAAATAATTAAATGGATTAAAATAAATAATACAAATAGAATAAAATCAATCAATAAATAATAAAAATAGATTTAAATATGGCCCAATGTACAATAATAATATAAAGGAATTTTTCAATTAGATTTTTCATAGATATTTGACCCGTATTTTGAATTATGCATTGAATTATGTTGTATTTTAGGGTTGAAGGAAATCTCCTGGTAACGGAAAATGCACTGGTAATTTTCTGCCAGGACTTACAATGTAACAAAAACTAAATATAATATTTAATATTTAATGGAAAGAATATTTGACATATTTATAAAATAATTTCAGGATGAGGGTCCCTCGCACCCATGTTCATCTAAAGGCTTGAAAAGCCCTGTGTTAGACAGTACGTCAGCGGAGTATGTGTGGCTGTATATCAGACGAGGCCACACTTATGCCAGTATCGTGCGGCTGGATGCGCGGCGGCCTGTCGGACCCTAAAAGGGGTGTGAGGTGAAGCGGCGGCACAGTCGACCGGTGCAACACCTTCACTGCGAGCCTCTTCACCTGCTTATCAACTCCACAAGAGCAAAGTGTCCACGAGCCCGGTCTCTGAACACCTCGCACCGGGGTATTTTTAGCAGCAGTGCGGACAGAGCTCTGGGAAAACACAGCCATCTGAACTTGGCTTTGTTGGAGCAAACCCTCAGACGTGGCATAGCCTCTGAAAGTCAGACAGTTCCCTGACGTGAAGAGGCTGATCGCGGTTGTACTGTACGGTTGTCAACGTTCAACTCTGTACCAGATGTTTCTCTAAAAAGTCTTAATAGACACAAACGAGTCGACAGTTGACATACAGTAACACCGTGTCCTAACTAGAGGCAATGCAATAATGCAATGAGGATGATTTGTTGATCAATTGTTTAATAATTCTGCAGCGTTGCACTGAGTAGCCCCGCCCACCGTGAAATCTGATTGGTTGAACACTAAACATCAAATATATTCTGATTGGCTGTGATTGTGTCGCATTGCACAGAAGTCTGGAATAGTGGTATTTTGGTACCTTTGAGATAGTATTAAAATTTCAATATTTTGAATTATTTTTTATTTTTACATTTTTCATTTTAATTTTAGCTACAATTTTAGTAATTTTATTGTGTATTTTTGTCAGTTTTTTCATATGTATTTTTATTTTTTTTATACATTAAGATAAGATAACATAAGATAAGATAAGATAAGATAAAATAATAATTATATAACTTTTTTTGTAAATGGTTGTAGTTTTATTTTCAGCCAAATAGCTGAAATGGCTAAAAGCTTTTTATAAAATAAAATAAAATAATAAAATAAAATAAAATAAAATAAAAT